GCTGGCCTTGAGCCTTTTAGGGTCCTGTTTATAAGGGTTTCGTACGGTATAATGGACCCGAAAAGGGACCGTAATGTAGAGAACTACCCACATCCCAAGTCCCAATTCCGAAGCCTAAAGCCTTCATGGCTTTGTGGCCGTCCTTCCTTCGAGCGTGTGCCAACCAACACGATTCGAAGTTTCGGGTCTAGTTTGGGGTTTAGGGTTTGTCGGGCCTAGTTTGGGGTCTTGGGTTGGTTTTTGCTTACGGTGATCTTTCAGATCCTTTCAGGACAACGGACCTCTGTAAGAAAACAGGTGCCTCGATGATAATTCTGGCTCAGCCTCAGCACCCTAGGAGGGTTTAGGGTTTAGGGTTTAGGGTAGGCCCTAACCTTAAGCATCAATCGCTTAACCTGGAGGTCAACCTTGAAAGACATCGTGGAGGCCGTGAAGAAGGAAGTGGAGGCGCCCGAAAGCCCTGAACCATCCCAATCACCCAGAGCCTAAGCTTAGGCCCTAAACCCGGACAAACCCTATATAGAACTATGGCGGATACCCCAAGCCCCGGAACACGTGACCCCAACCTCCCTGTAAATGGTTGTGCGCTGCGCGGTCTGCGCAGCCCCCCCTTCCCCTCCGCAACCCTAAACCCTAAACCCTAAACCCTAAACCCTGAACCCTGAACCCTGAACCCTAAACCCTAACCCTAAACCCAAACAACAACAAATGCACGGGGTCTGGAGCCTTGGGCGCCTGTGCGGAGGGCCTTTGTTCAGAGAGAAACGGGGAGGGCGAAGGGGACGAAACACCGAAGATCGCGGCCCCAGCCGTTCCAGGAGGGGGAGAGGGGGGGTTTAGGGTTTAGGGTCTAGGGTCTTGGGTTTAGGGTCTAGGGTCTAGGGTTTAGGGTTTAGGGTCTAGGGTTTAGGGTTTCGGGTTTAGGGGATGATCACAGGCACAACCACGGAAAGAAGGCTGAACTAAAGCCAAACCACCCAACCCTTCGACAGCTCAAGGCCCAAGCTGTTCCACAAGGAAAAAGGGAAATAGCCAAGTGGCGGATCCAAAACCTTGAACCCTAAACCCTAAAGCCATACTAAACCCTAACCCCTTAAACCCTAAACCCTAAAACCCTAAAACCCTAAACCCTAAAACCCTGAAGCCCTAAACCCTGAAGTTGTTGAAGGGCCTGGGGATTCCGGGCTTGGGTTTGGCATCTAGAGCCGTGGGGATTTTGGGGGTCTCAGTTTTCGGGTATGCCAGGTGGGGTGAGGGTTTAGGAGTTATGGTGCATTCGGACTGCATGTCTCAGATTCTACAAGTGTTCATCCGGGGTTTGGGGTTTCAGGTTCAGTTTTTTGTTTGTAGGTTACGGGGGCCACGGACCTAGGCCCTATGTAACGCTGTAGGGGTTTGGCAAGGGATGCTGAGGTTATACATATCGATGTGGCGCCTAAGGGGTTCTTTTGGTACGGTAGGGACGCTTCGGAGTTGACGGCCCGGGTTTGTGGGGTTGATATTTTAGGGCTTTTTGGGCATTGCGAACCAGACTACATCATGCCACATCGTCTGCAGGTAGGTTTGCGCAATCCTGGGGCCAAGCCCAACGACGAACTGTAGAGGCCGAAGATGATGGATTTAGTAGACTTTTGGTGTGGAAGAGGACTGACGAAGTAAAAGCGAAAACCCGCGAATCCCTGAAGACTAAACTCGAAGGTTACCTGCACTCATACAGGCAAAATATCTACAGTATATAATGTACCCTCTCACATCCATATAACATAGCAATCATAGAACCCATGTAGAAGTCCTACAAAGCTCAAAATTACCAGGCCCTGTAAGACTCTCAACAACCTGACGCTTGAAATGTTCATGAGGCCCTTACAGCCCACCAGAAAGCCTCACGAAGCCGTCATGATTGACGAGCCGAGCCAGGAACCAACCAAGATGGTCATTTTGGACCCGATCGCTGGCACAGGCCTCCACAGCGCGCCACACTGAGATCAATTGAATCGTAAGGAGGTTCCGTGGTATGGGTGTGTATAGGGTTCGGGGTTTAGCGTTTAGAGGTGGGTATGGTTTTGTGAGTTGTATAGAGAGTATTATTCTTCGACTCGAGGCTAAGTATTCCCTGGCGGGAGCCGTTTAGTGGGGAAGTGGCCGTGGAGCTTTACGTCATGTGCCGAAATTGTTTCAGTTTGAGGGTTCGGAGGCCTGCAACCCAGCGAGAAGCAAGATAAGTGCCAAGGGCTTGCGATCGTGTCGAAATGCTGACCCTCAACCCTGAACCCTTAACCCTCAACCAACCCTGAACCCTAAACCCTAAACCAACCCTGAACCCTAAACCCTAAACCAACCCTGAACCCTAAACCCTAAACCAATATGGTCCAACATGGTGTGCTGAGCTTCGCTTGGAGCTTGGGGTTGAAACACACCAGCTACATCCAGCTACGGGGGTCAGGCTTCGAGTCGAAGATGGAGGCTTCAGAGGCGCGTAGTATGAGAGGGCACCAGTTTAGGGTTTAGGGTTTAGGGGTTTAGGGTTTAGGGTTTGGGGTTTATGTACTTGGGGATGAAGCTGGTGGAAAGAGCCCAGATAATGTGGCATAAAATCTGCAGTACTCTGGCATGATGCAGATTGCAAGGTAAAGACGCCTTCTGTCCACGGCACCAATGCACAAAGCAGACGTCGTTCAACACGTTGCCCTAATCCGTCGGGATCGTCAGAACTGCAACACTGCCTGTAGTCTCCATTGTAGTTCCTTTTTTTGGTTTAACCAACTATATATTAAGGAGTTTATGAGCCATCCCCAAAAAGGAACTACAATGGAGACTATAGGTGGAGGCATCATCTCCCGTAAAGGCTCAGCAGATGCGTTATTCCGAAGCCCCACAGCCTGAACGTAGAAGTCCGAACCCTGAATCTTTGAACCCCGGCCGTCTTGGTATCCTTGGTGGTGCAACTTTCTTTCATGATCTGTCACCCATACTTGACACCATAAAACCGAAAGCCCGATCCCTAAAACCTGAAACCTAGACCCTAAATGGCTTACGCCGCAAACCCTAAAGCGACACAACAGGGTTACAGGGTTAAAAGTTGTGAGCCTCGGCTGCGGGTTGCAAGATAGGGGCTTGAAAGAATTAAACTTGCTTTCGGCATACCAACGCAAAATGTTACAATCTCTCTCTCTCTCTCTATATATATATGTATAGATATGTATGTAGATATATAAATATGGATGTGCGCATACATGCTTATATGTATGAGTGTGTATATGAATATAGATATATACATACATACATACCTGCAGATTTCTCAAGCTGTACAGGGAGTGCAGCTCGCAGGACTTTCGGCAACTTCAAGTTTAGTTGGAGTTTCATTCCGGCCGGTCATGCGAGGTGCTTCTCCGCCAAATGGGTGTCAAAGCCAGTCTCTCAGAGCATTTTGTGTTGGTTCAGTTTTCAGCATTTAAGGTCTGTGATTGTTGGATTCAAGATACTCCGTGGCCCGGAGTTCACATGGCGTCGCAGACTTGCAAACTTGTTGCGGCACCACATTTTCTAAGCTTGTGACTACCGGATGTTCCAGATGATGGTGGCTGTGGATTCTTGAAACATCGTAAGGTACAGTGACTTGCCAGTGTCTTTAGGAGGCCAGGACTTCCAGCAAGGAGGGACGAGGTACTTTAGGGCTAGGTGTTTACGTTGATCAAACTTTAGCAAGAGCCTGCATGGAAGCCCCTGCGCACCGGAACCGCATGCATGCATGACTGTATGAAACGTATGCAATAGTCGGCAACAGATGCTACTAGTATGTGATGGCCATGTCATGTCCTGTAATGTACCGTGATAGACTGCTGGTGTATGACCTGTATGTCTATGTACTGTAACATACTGCCATGTACTGTAGTGCAGTGCAATGTAATGTTAGATACTGCTATGTAATGAAACACTGTGTGTGGTCCTATGTAATGTTTTGGGTTGCGTTGCACTGTGTCGAATTGTATTGTATTGTACTGTACTGTACTGCATGTGTATCTTAATGTATTGTTTTTCAGTCTATTGTGTGATGGACTACTGTAATGTCTTGTCTTGTCTTGTGTTGCATCGTCGTGTCTTGCCTTGTGTTGTGATGTATAACACTGTGTTGTAGTGTATTGTAATGTGTTTTTTGCTATGGATTGTATTAAATTGGGTTGTATTGTATTGTAACGTATTGAATTGGATTCCAGCGTACTGTAGTGTTTTGTCATGTGATATATACATGCCTGTAAAGATGGGTATACTGGTATGAGCATACAGCCCGTAGCATGAGCTGGGAGCCAGCGAACACTCCCTGCACTTCATCCCACAACTGGAGCTCTGTTTCGAGGTCTGGTGCGCAGATTCCGTGGACGGTGGCTCCACGCAGACGAGTGGTGCGGACTGGCACCCTAAACCCTGGATCTGTGATACTCCAAGTACCAATCCGGTATGTACTTCCACTATAAACCCCCTGACCCGCTGCAAGCCCTACATAGGTAGTTCTCCAAATTACGGTTATTTTAGGGTCTTGTTTATAGGATCCAGAAAGCGGGGCCCAATTTAGAGAACTACCCACCCACATGAATGAAGAAGAACGCACCTGCAACAGCCGAATTTGGGAGAGAGCACGCCAAGATGCGAGCAAATGTCTGGCTTCGGGCCTTCAGGGTTTAGGGGTTTAGGGTTTAGGGCTAAGGGTTTAGGATTTAGGGTTTAGGGCTTAGGGGTTTAGGGTTTAGGGCTAAGGGTTTAGGATTTAGGGTTTAGGGCTTAGGGTGAATCCCCACCCAACCCTTCAGGGTTTAGGGTGTTACGGCTTGTCAAGACTCAGGATCACATGTCTGTCGGGGAGAATTGGTGACTCGGTGCCACGGCTTGTCCGTGCAGAGCGAGTGTGTACGGCTTAGAGCTTACTATAGGGGCCTTAGTAGTTAGAATAGGGTCTAGGGGTACAGTATACTACAATTGTTTAATAAGAAACCCCCGAAAACCTATGCTTATTATGCAGGCCCCTACATTAGGTTAGCGGGGTCAGGGTGTAGAGTGCAGGTTGGGTCTGAGGTTTTGTTCCTCAGCGAGCCAGGAATGGCAACCTGCTCAGGAGAGGTGCTAGAGCGATGTGGAACGGACTCTGCAGAACTGTTTGCTTGCAAGTCAGTTTAAACCAATGCAAACAGCGAACCCTAGCATAGGTCCACAGACCCTGAATAGTATCACCCACAAAGGACCGCAAGTTCAAGTCAGGCCTAAAAAGCTTTGTTCGTGTTCCCTGGTTGTGTTGAGCTCGCATACTCTGAGTCCCGCAGCTCCATTCCCGTGCGAGCAGGACACAAACTACTTGAATCAGTGCATGAGCACAGGCTAGGGAGTTTCGCGTTTCGGGGCGTCGGGTTTGGTTTGGACAGAGCCTCTTGCAGCAAGTTGTAGCAGCCCCTTTCTCAGAGCAACGACATTGTATTTACATGCTGGCACATGATCCATGAACTATGTCAATCTGTAAGCGTCCATGCATTTTTCTGTACATCTGCATCCATATGACCATTCATGTTTCCTCGTCCATTTGGTGGGATAGAGAGACTCATACAGCTGCCTAAGAAGATGCGTATATACATGCATGCATGTATGATTGTTCCAGGACCACGTGCATATGCACATGCTCACATATGCAATGTGTGTTTGCACCTGCTCGACTCGCAAACATTTAACACTATTATTCACGTTCTGTTAACCTCTCTGGTCGTCTGCATCCGAATCCCTAGGCCCTAAGCCCTAAACCCTCAACGCCGAAACCCTCCAGACTCTTCTTCCGTGTGGGGCCCGGAGTCTGCTTGGCACTGCACGCAAGCTCAACACTCCAATCACTCCAAGCCTTCCCCAACTTCACACGCCGCAGCTAACCGTGGATCTTATGCGCGTGTGTGTACATATGTATGCATGCACACACATACATACATACATACATACATACATACATACATACATATATACATATATACACACATACGTACCCCTAAAGAACCCGTATAGATACCTTCATAGAACCCGAAAGCCCCTCCCAAACCACCAGCCACCGGCCTCCTCGCAGTGGAGGCTCCGCGGCCCGCGCTGCGGCCGCTGCCGGCGCGGCGGCTGCAAATGCCGCAGTGAGTGCGGCGGGACGAGCGGTGGCCCGAAACTCAGGGGCGCCTTTAAAGGGGTGCTAGAGGGTTCGAGAATAGGGTCCCCTTTAAGGGGTTACTATGGGGTTCTAGAACGGGCGACTGGCTTTAGGGCTATAAAGGTAAAGGTTAAGGATTTAGGATTTAGCGTTGAAGGTTGAGGATCTAGGATCTAGGGCTAAAGTTTGAGGATTTAGGGTTCGGGGTTTTCGGATTCAGAGCGAGTTCCCAACGCCGGCCATCAATCCCTGGACCCTGGAGTACTTGCCCTAAGGGTCCATGTATTCATATAGCATATACATGGGCCCTGAAGCACCTATATAGGGACTACATTAAGGCCAATGTATATACTATTTGGGTACATGGACCCTTAGGGTTGCGAAGGTGTGGACAGAGATGGACCACGTTGATGTGTTCGACTCGGGAGAGGTTGGGCCGGCGGAACATCATACTCAGATAGCTCAGGTATACGAACTGTTTCTACGACTGGCATCGCTTTATATTTAGTCAGTCTTACCGTACGTAGGTATGGAGTGACACGAACAGCACGAACAAGAGTGTGAGTAATTGGACAAGAAGAAAATGCACATGTGGATGTGCACAACAAGCATGTGTATCTGAGATGGGCCGGGTGTTAGTCTTCGAAACCAATCAATCACGGCTTTCAAGAGGAGGGAAGCGCATCATCATCCCCCAACCCTGAGGCACATGTTTTCCCGGGGTTTGTGGGGGCATCACGGTCAAGGCTGACTCATCTTCGGCTGTTCCGGCTCTCGCACATACCAGTGCCACACCCTAAAGGACTGTTGCTGCAAGACCGAACAGAAAGGTTCCCTCAGACGGCTTGTCACTCTCCGTTCTACGATCTGCGGTAGTAGCAGTTTTACTCCACTGAAAGTCTTAACAGCCGAACCTAACCGCAACACCAAGGTTTTGGGACACAGATGGAGGGTAGTGAAATCCGTTTCGTACAGCAAGGTTTAGCTACAATTGAGTCATCTCTGTTTGATGCAAGCGAGGGTAGATTGCGCTTGAAGGGTCAAGGTGCATAGAGCTCAGGTGTTTACCCCATAGTGTCGCAAGATGCAGGAATGCCAAGTGTCTCGCGATCCTGAATACGCAGGATCGAGATCACAAGCAGACGCAGAAAACCCCCACACAGTGTCCGAGCGAATCCCTGCCCCAAAGGAAATCGCAGCCCGCATTACATATGTAAGGCTGAGCAGCCATAAAGCATTCAATTTCGGAACGGAAGTCATAATATGCCTTTGCAGATGCCTATATACAGGCTTACAGCTTACATGTGTGTTTGCTTACGAACGTCTGAGGTTTGGGTGCTTATGCTACAGTAGGCCGTGGACATCGGCATCCTAAATATGAGACACACCACGATCACCTAGAGCCAACACCTGATAATGCCAATCCGTCTAGGCTGTGCCAAAGTCACAGAACAAGCTGCAGGCAGCCACAGCATGGTGGCAGCGTGCAGAGGCGGAGCTCGCACAACCCCCTTTTTTAGAATACCAGTGCGCAACATGCAGGGTTCGAATAGCACGAGTAGCAAAGACAAGCATGTCGGCCGAGCCTCTGTGAGAAGAGCCTTCGTGGAAAGCACTTTGCGACGAGGTGCGGCAAGCAGAGATGACGATGATAGTAAGCTACGGATTGCGAGAGCCAAAGTTCGGATCATCATCGTGGTCGTCATGATGTGAAAGGTAGCATTGTGAACTTCAAGCCCTGAAGCACGTGGTGAGAGCACCGCGTCCCTGTCGCTGAAGTCCCCTCAAGGGCTCAACAGCTCTGACATTCACAGGTTGGATGCCCTGTTCTGATGCTTTCCTTCCCACCGCCACCGCCGGCAGAGGTTGCGGAGGTGCCGGCAATTGCGGGGCTTCGGGTGTGGGGGTGGGGGGAAGCTTAAGTGCTTAAGGTTTGAGACTTTTTGGATTCAGGGGGGCTCAGATGCAGTGGTCCAGGCTTCGGGATTCATAAGGGCTTGGGGGCATTTTAGATCAGTCAGAAGCTTGGAGACGCAAACCCTGCCTGTACGATTCGTTATTTTGGATGCGTCGGGCTGCAGCAGGGATGAGCTTTGTGATGCAATACCGTAAAGCCCTAAACCCTAAACCCTAAACCTTAAGGATATATGTACTGTAGTTATTGTAACTTGACAATATGATGCAGTTCGGGTTTAGGGTTGTAGGGCGGTTCACCCACATTCAGGGATCAGGGATCAGAGGTTTCGTGTTTTAGGGGGTTTAGGGATTTAGGGATGTAGGGATTAGAGGTTTCGAAATTAAGGGTTTAGGGTTTAGGGTTCCGCAAGGCAAGATGGCACTGCCAGGCACCAGAACGACGGAGCGGTGTAGAGCCCAGAAGGTGGCATTCTCAAATTCGGGTACATCAAGAGCTACAGTACCCTTTAAAGACACCCTATTATAGAACGCCATATACTTGTGGGCACTTTGGGTGTCATAACCTACTTGTAGGGTTTGGGGCTATTCGAGCGCACTTTCGAACGATTGAATACTTGGAATTGTCAGTTCAATCAGGCTGTCGAAGGCATCAGAACAGTCCCCGCATACCCAGCCTCCCCCAAACCCTCACAGGCAGCACTGCGGCGATTTCGCGGGTCATGGCTGCTGTTTATAGGCCTGGGCATCGGGTTCAAGGGTTCGGAAATGGGAGGGCTTTCGACCGATCCTGAGCCAAAACCCGGAATCCGCAACCTTCAAACATTCTCCTCCTTTCTCATTGAGGGTTGACCACGGATCAAAGTGCATGTTGTGAGTGTGGGGCGGGGGCACCGGAGGGCTGACTCAGCCTTCGGGTGCTGGAACCTGAAACCTCATGCTTGCTTTATGGAATCCTTAAGGGACGGGGTTCTAAGGGGGGTATATAACCCAGTGATCCCCAATTCTCCCTAGTACTCTGTTAGGTTCCCTAAAGCTCCCTAGGACACTCCCCCCTTGAGCCACCCTCCCTTAAGGATCCTATAATTGCTTGAAGGTTCACCCAATCAGTACTTACATCTCCACAAAAAAACCCTAAGCCCTAAACCCCTAAACCCTAAACCCCTAAACCTTGAACCCCTAAACCCTGAACCGGAAACTAAACTGTAAACCCTCTCCATGCGGCTGTGGCAGGGGAGTGGCGTGGCTGCACAGGTGGCTCAGGCTTCTTTGATCTTCTGGAGGCACGAAGATGGGGTGCTATGGGGTTTCAGGGTTCTCTAATCTTCTGGAGGCAAGAAGATACGGGAGTTTCCGAAAATATGGGGTACCGTTATTTTGGGGTCCTTATAATCAGGATCCTACTATTTAGGGTACTATATTAGGGTCCCCCATTTTCGGAAACCCCCATACTGTAGGGTGCTAGGGATGGAGGTTTCGCGTTTCGGGGGATTCCAGCTGCAGCACGTTCCTTTCCCTTAAGGTGCGGACTGGCCTTGGGGCAGGACCCACGGCATCAAGCCTAATGTAGTATAGGGGCCTTAATGATTAGAATAGGGTTTTGGGGCCCAGTATACTATAATTCTAGTAAGGAACCCCAAATAGTATTGGTAATGATTTAAGCCTCTCATATAGGGGCCTAAATCATTACCAACATTATTTTGGGGGCTCTTTATTAGAACTATAGTATAATTGGCCCCAAAACCCTATTCTAATTATTAAGGCCTCTACATTACATGATATTTGTCGTGATTTGTTTGTGCTGTTGCTGGACTTGCGAAGGGCTTTTCTGCTGGTTGGATTGTCCAAGTCAGGAAGTTGCACAGCAATGATTTAGAAAGGACCTGAAGTTGTTCAGGTATGATTTGCAATGGCAAGGAAGGATGCGTCAACAACCTTCGGTAGGGTGGTCGGATTCACAGAGACCTTGCAAGTTTAGCACATGCCTTCGCCGACACCTTTTTCTTCAATCCCCAAATCCACACCGTAAATCACACGCTCACATCCCAAAACCCTACCCTAAGCCCTAAACCCTAAACCCTCCACATCACGAGCACCTCCGCTCTGCAGGAGGAATGGCAGAAAATGAGGGTCTTCAGCCTGCCTCAGTGGCCAATGATGGAGGTGCACGAGCCCTGAACTTGGGTTTTGTGTCGGATTCTCAGAGTGTCAGGTTGAGGGTTTCAGGCCTCGCCGAAGCTTGGAAGAGATCTAAGCCCTAAACCCTTTTCAACCTTAAAGCCATAGCCTTTCAGCCCTAAACCTTGTAAGCCGTCAACTCTGACTCAAACCGCCTTGTGCTTGCTTGTGGTGCAGGGTTTCGTGCCTAGGGAATGGGAGCTGTCGAGGTTTGAGGAACCCGACGAGGAAACTGTGATGTAGGAGCGATGTTTTTCATCATCCGTTCGACTATGTAGCTACAGTCGAATCACCACCGAAAAATCGGCTCCAGGGCTATATTGAAGCTCCTTGAAAGTGTCAGGCACAGACTGAAACTCCCCGAACCCTAAACCCTAAACCCCTAAACCCTAAACCCTAAACCCCTAAAACACAGTTTTTCGGTCGTCTCGGGGAATGCAGTGCCCATTGGTTAGTGTCTTTTTGCTCTACGGTTCAGGGTTTAGGGTTGAGGGTTTAGGGCCTAAAGTGTGGGATGGGGGTTGGAATCACGCTTTTAGGCCCTTCGACGGGGTAGTACTCACCTAGAGTGGCTTCAAGCTGTCAGATTCGGGAGGATCGCGTCTACCTGCTGCGGCGGCAGCCACGGACCTCACCATCTGCGGAGAAAAGCAGCGAATGCCCGGGGGGTTTAGGGGTTTAGGGGGTGTAAAGGGTACTTTGAGGTGCTGCATCCATTCCATGCATCCATGCTGAACATGTAAGTCATTGTTCCGACCATTTCGTGACGAAAGATATCTATACTATGGCTGCTGTTTCACACTTTGGTAGTGTTGTGTGCGTACGACCCAATAGGGTTCCCACTGCCCTCGTTGCACTGTTGTCTTTTCGGCCACAACTATACATGTGGAGACAGTGACGTTGACGGTTTATGTCTATGTAGTCGTCATGACGACAAGCACGCCGGTAGTGAGGACGAGATGCGAGTTCTGTTGCACTTGGCAGCTGTGTGGTGATTTCGGTCTGAAACTCCCATATTCGCTACAGGAGTTCAGGATCAAGGTTTAGGGGACTTAGGGTTCAGGCTTTAGGGTTTGGGGTTAGGGTTAAGGGACCAGAACCCTAAACCCTCAACCCTACGAAACCCATCAGATCCTTTGGAAATTGCGCTTGCGGGACCTTGTGGCTGAGGCTCTGGGTTTAGAGTTTAGGCTTTAGGGTTTAGGGTTTAGGGTTTAGGGTTTAGGGCGAAGGCTTCAAGCCCGAACTTATTAAAGGAGCCGGAGAGATTAGCAACCGTAATTGATTATAGTCCCAAATGCATTATAGACGATCGAGATTAGCAACCGTAATTGATTATAGTCCCAAATGCATTATAGACTATCATACTATCATATACCCCCCCTCCCAAATATACGTTTTGAAACTATTGCGGCGCTCAAGCTAGACCAGCATTAAGCTTGATCCGGTTTTGCCTGGTGTAGCTATCGCTGGCGGCTTCCCCGTTCGCGAGCTACTATTGAATAGGGGGAAGGAAGTATGAAACTTGTGTTAGACTTACCCACCCTGTCTGTGCGTATAACTACAACATTCTTGATCGTGACAATAATAATCATAAAATAGGGGCCTTCATAATTAGAATAGGGTTGTGAGGCCCATGATGCTATAAGGGCCCCCCTTCCGAAAAAAAGGATAGGTAATTATTTGGGCCCCTACATTACGAATATTGATACCATTTGATACCAATAGTTAGTTTGGCTGCGAGGTTCCTATCGGCCCTGTAGCTGCACGACTTGTCCCTCATTTGCTCTTGGGTAGTTGGGTTTAGGGTTTAGGGTTTTGGGGTTTAGGGTTTTTGGGTTTGGGGGTTTTGGGGTTTGGGGTTCTGGGTTTTGGGTTGACGAATAGGTGCCAGCAGAGGTACATCGGTGCACGGGCAGTCTGAGCCAGCCGTTTTCGAGAACCCAGGCTAGGAGCCTGGGGCGTGTCGGTTTGTGGCCTCAGCCGACCCAGTGAGAGCTTACATCTTTGGGCTTCGTGTTGGTGTTTACGGCTCTTGGTTTAGGGTTTAGGGTCTATTTTTCAGGCGCTAGATCCACCTTTCTTTGGCATGTTTCTGGCTTAAGGCCTGCCTCCAAGGCCCCTCCAAACGTTCGTTCGCTGTTGGCTTTGACAGCGCATGGGGCTCCCATGGCTCAGGTGTCTGGCTTTTGTGCTGGGGTGGGGTCTAGAGCTTTAGGTAGCTTATGTAGGGATCTATCCAATATTAGAGATCCGTTTGCTCGGACTCTCTATTTGGGTTCCTGATGTTCTCAACCTCTCGCGAAAGTTGACTAGCCGGTATCAGCATAAGTTTCAGTGACTTGTCTGTTGTAGAACCCTAAATCGCACCTGTACTAACCGCAAATTCAATCAGGCCACGTTCTGTTGGTCTATTCTCTCATCTACCACAATGTACATTCATGTACTAGATGAATACATTATAAGATAGTGTAATATACTTTTATATATAAGGAAAATTTGCTGGACCATGCCAGAATGCACCATGACATGCTTTAATAGGTTACGTATAATATTGTAAAATGCGCTGTCATATACGTACTACAATATACTATACACTAGAGCTCCTTCGTGTTGGATCCGGTACCCTCAGGCCAATTCCTGCGTGACCCTGGATCCCACAGCCGAGACATCAAATGCCGAGGGGCCCCCGTCCCAGTCTTAGGTGCAAGATACAGACCGCAAGGACCGAATGACTCTCCAAATTAGGGGCCGCATGACTTTGACCTTGAGAGTGCACAGGGCTTTCTCAGACGTCTTAGGGTTTAGGGTCTAGAACTCCTTGGACCTTTCAGCCCCGAGCATTTAAGCATGTCATTCGGTCCTTGTGGAAAGCATCTTCCTAGCTGTGCCCAGCAAGTCCAAGATCCCTTCGTTTTCTCTTAAATCAGGGTTTAGGGTTTAGGGTCCCCAAAATGGTACGCAACCCTTACTAAAAGGGGCTCTAAAAGGGACCCTACTGTAGAGAACTGACCATGTAGCTGCCGGCAGCGCTTGGCAATGGTGCAGATGTAGGATTGGCAGTTCGAGCTGTACACCAGTTCAGGGCTTCAGGTATAGAGTTTTATAGGGTTTACGGTTCAGCGAAAGTGTAAGTGTAAGAAGTCACCGTCGCAATGCTTTCATCATGTTCAACTTTGTTGGGGTCACTATGACCGTTTCTGCTGCGAGTGCGTGCTTATATATATAAATATATATATATATATATAGGCAAGTTCATATAATAACAATTTGTGGGTTTTCTGCTTCTGCTGCCATTGATATCAAGTAGTCACTGTATTTAATCCTTTCATGTGCTGGTGCTGATGCTGTGCACGTGCTTTGGCAGTTTCTATTGAACATTATGTCGATTGTCATTGTGTAGCACTCGTAAGTTTTGGGTTGTGATTGTATCAAGCCATCCTAATTCCTAAACCCTAAACCCCTAAACCCCTAAACCCAAACCCTAAACCCTAAACCCTAAACCCCACACCCTGGACCCTCTAAGCCCTTACATAGCCCAGAGGAATAAGGGCTCAGGCGATTGCAAGCAACATCTCGGATGTCGCCTGTTTCCAGCTTGTGCTGCAGGCTGCTGAGTTTGCACTAAACCCGAAAACTTAAACCCAAGCGGTTTTATGCCCTAAACCCCTAACCCCTGAACCCTAAACCCTAACCCCTAAACCCGAAACTCGAAAACCTAAACCCAGACGGTTTGATGCTGTGCTTTCTTCACGTGACTTGGCTGCCGAGCCCCGAGCCTCACATGTCAGAATTGACGAAAGTCCGACGGTTTAGGGTTTAGGGTTTAGGGTTTAGGGTTTTATCATCGGGGTAGGAGATTGAGAATGTACTCTTTAATATAGGGGCCTTAATATTTTGAATAGGGTTTGGGATATATTATACTATAATTATAATAAGGAACCCCCAAAACCCTATTCTAATTATTAAGGCTTCACGGGACAGCAGGTGCTACACCCGAGGCAAGAGTAGGGGTTTAGCATCGTCGTTTCGTCACGCGCTTTTTCTAAACCTTTCGGGTTGGACTTTCCAGTCAACGCTGGCCAAGCGTTTGCCGACTTTGAAGCATTGAAATATATCTGGCAGACGCGTTTGTGCCCGTTGTCTTGCTCCTTCAACTTAGCTGGCGAATTCGGTTCCACGATGACTCGACTCATCTGTTGAAGCTCCAAGCGGTGAGCAGCCCAGCCCGATGCTGTACTGATCAAGAGTCCCGAGATGCTTGCGGCCAACAGAGGGGCCGAGGCTCGACGCAGCTATTTTCCCATGCTCTTCGCAATCTCCTTGGACGACGAAGTCGACCTTCCACCAAGTGTGGTTCGAGTTGCCCTGCACGTCTTCAATTCGAGCCCTGCGGACGGCGCTGTGGCCCTGAGCAGTTGGATCCTGGCAAAGTCTGGCCTCTTCGGAACCGAACCGAAGCTTCATAGAGAGGTCGAAGAAGTATGAAATCTACAATTTCTGCGTCTTGGCCCAAGATGGGACCAAGAGACTACCTGACTCTGGTTTAAGCTGTGCCCAAGACGATTTTAGAAGAAATTATTCCATGAACCCGTGCCTAGGCCTTCGGACACGAGCCTCTTGAATCGAAGGCTACAAACGGCTCCATCTTTTCCATCCTACGAAGATTCCGTGCTTTACGCCGGGATCCTTGCAATGCAGAGGCCACGACTGCCCAGCCGTCGTTCCCGAAATAGCCGGAACAAATACCGATGTTTTTCAACACGTGGCAATTCATATTCGATTATTAGAAGGTCCGCTCCGGTCTCCTACGAGGGCTTATGGCCACTACAATATTTTTCTACGATCGAATATGATATAAAAAAAGAATTAATATCCAAACCCGCTCTTGATAAAATCTATTCAAGAATCGATACACCTTTTCTTAAAAATTGATGAAGAACGAATAGAAGAGAGATATTAACACTTGATCTTTATTTCAACTCTTACAAATATAAGAACGATATCGAAATAATTTTCAAATTAAATATATACTTAATCGAGGAAAAAGATATAATAAATTTATTTCTTGAATTTTATAAATATTGCAAAAAAATTAATTAAATTAAGTCAAAAGAAATATATATAGATATTCACCTAGAAAATTTCTGGTTGTTTTACTTCTTTATAAAAAATATGATGAGTTTCAATTCGATCGAGATGATTTTATAATTACGAGATCTTATCTATCTTTACCTTTGAATATAATATGAAATTCTCATTCAGAAAATAGATATGATTTCATTTAAAATGGGATTATAAGAATTCTTGATATGGTCGTATTAGCAAAATTATAATAACTATAATCGGGTATGATTATAAAAATAATTAAAATATATTTAGATATATCT